AAATTGTCAATAAACCGTGTTTGGTATCTATAACAAGACGGCTGAAGTTTATTTTATTAAATTAGCGTTACTATTACAACCTATTAAAGTCCATTGATGAACAAGGGTCTCCCTCATAAATTGCTTCATAGGGGTAATACTTTGCTATACTTATCAAACTGGGCTAGCAGGTTGGTAACTATATTTTATGTTAATTTTAGCATTTATTAAGAATACACTGCTGTCCATTTCCTGATTTGTTTCCCTTTGTCGCCTCGTTATTATATTACACGAAATATGACATATTATGAAAATATTGAAGTAGATATTGTATAAACGGGATCTGACGGATGACTTAGCATTTATGCTATTTGCTGTAGAGAGTACATATTAGCTATAGAGTCTATGAGATTATTGGATCTTTACTCGCTCAAAGCTGACTATTTAGCGAGAAAACCCAGCTAGCATTTTTCGCTTGTAAGTATTTAGTTTTTAAATCAGTTGATATTAAAATATAGTTTTGAACTGTCAGCCAATATTGATACTCTCTACATTAGCCAAGCTTATTGAATAAAATTTTTGTCCTTACATTCGAACCTATTTTCTATTATTTATGACTGACTCTCAGCACAGATTTGAGAAAAGAAGATAAACTTTAACTAATCTTGCAAAATTTGTCGAAGATCTTGCAGCTGCTATTGACAATAGAAATGGAATTAATGTTCTCTATACCGATTTTAGCAAGGCCTTTGACAAACTCTCACATTCAATTTTGCAAAGAAACCTTAACCCTTCAATCTCTTAGCGGTCGAATTCGACCGCGGCGCTATTTCTTCAAAATTCAAGCGGCCGGATTCGACCGCGCACACCCACAGCACTTTAAGCCATTGAAACTTATATTTAGAGACTACTTTTCTATGAAGAAGTTTGGCATTATAAAATCAATATAAAATTTTCTATCCTCTAGTGCAACAAAAAACAGTTATCGTATGGATATTTATTTATAATCTACGTTCATTACGTACGCTATTTTCGGGTGAATGTTATTGTGTTGATTTTTGGATTTTTCTAGAGTTTTATTATAAAATTGTAATGAAAGTTTCAGTTAAAATAAAATCCGAAAAAATATAACGTAATAATCACCAACGTAAAAAGGCTAGGCTGTTAATTTCGAGCCAAACGGATTCGACCAGCGTCATTGTAAGCTTGTAGGTGTAAATACTGATCTACAACGTCCCGGCGAGAAATAAAAAAGAGGAATGTAGGGTTCTTCACATTTAAGAAAAATCGAAACCACTTTGTATGCTTTTTTATTTTCCACTACCACGTGCATGTTGTGAGCGTTCGTTACTTTCGAAAAGACAATATTAATAGACCAAGCAAAATCACGGAGATCCCAATGACTACCCTAATTTTTTTTATTGGACTTATTAATGGTGCTTTGAGAAAAATTGCAACCCTTTTGACAAAAGCATTTGAATTAAAGGGCAAAGTATTTGAATTAATAGTAATGCAGGGAATAAAAACACACTTTCTTTTTTGTAAAGATTAAGGGGTGACAACCGAGCACACTCCCTTCTTCTACATCCTTCTACATATAGAAATATAAACAACGCCCCTAGCGGGCGTAAATGGAACTATTTTTGTCACACAAAGTAATTCAATGACGATTTATAATACGATAGAAAACTCATTCTCAGGGGCAGTTACTGATTATGGTTACTGACGTTAAGTGTGCCAGTGCCAGGCTGGCATACTTAACTGGCACTGCCAGCATACGGTCGGTTACGACTCACGACTTCGATTGACTACTATATAGATTGCTATTATTAATAACACTTTATTAAATTACTAAACTTATGTTAATATTAAATTTAGTTAAATGATTTTTTATGAATTTTGAGACATGATTATTTAAATTTTGCATTATTTATAAAAGATTTATTACATATTGATACTTTTTGTGATCACAATTGGAAGATTAAATGGTTTCTAAATAAAATAAATTGTGCGGACCGTCGCTCTAAATCACAGGGTATGTGAACCGAGCACACTGTCCATCTGAGTAAAAAAGGTCTCCGGTTTTCTACACTCATCATACAAAACAAGCAGCTTCTCGGTCAAGTCGACCTATTCGTGCTACAACTTGCTGCAGCAAGTACAATAGTTGCAGCGCGGCTCTACCACGTATAGCTCTTTTAGTTGCTCCAATAATAATAGTGTCCTTTATAATATTTTCCTCCAGCTCTGTGATGCACTATGTCATGTCTTGTGGAAGGAAGCCATCACCTACATGACTGAAGTATAAAATATTTCTAACATGTGAAGTCTGCCAACATGCATTAGAGCAACGCGGCAGACTAATTGTTTTATAACCGTCTCAGAAATAGTTGGGGACCTGTGACAGGGAAGGTAGATTCGCATGTTACTTTACTTTTTACCACATATCATATCGTAGGTATAGGAAGAGGCGATAGATGAAATGAAATGAAAAAATGAAATAGGATATGGTTTGCAATATCTTACTCTAATCATAATTGATATAATCAGGTGTTAGTTTGCGGAAATCCATTATAGTAAAGATCTGGCGTTTACTGAAAATCTGTAGTTGTAGTTACCACTATATGGTTTCTATAACATTTCTGCTGAGTAGACGCCTTTTTAGTTCATTTCTTTAAATAATTATGTTATGTTAATTTGCGTGTATGTTTGGAACTAAATAAATTATATTATTATTATTATAAATATGTGTCAATATAGTTTTCGCATCTGGGTGGGTTCTATAAATATATAATTATAAATGTAAATGAAAAGATAAATATATATAAATATCAATAAAATTAAATAAATATAAAAATACATTAATAAATAAAAGCCTAACCAGATGGAGGCCCTCGGCATTGGAGACCAAACGGCCGAGGGTTGGGCGAAAGGGAAAGAAACCGGCGGACAATGCGGGCGGTATCGAGGAGCACCGCCTTCTGCATTTGAGCCTGGAGCGGTCCGCCACGCAGTCCCAGCCACTTCAGATAACTCGAGAGGCTGACTGGAATTAGCTCGTTTGCAGAGACGACTACAGGAATAATTTCGGTCGGCAGACCACCCCACATGTCGGTCACCTCGTGAGCCAGGTCCAGATATTTTGTTCGTTTATCTGTTTCGGCTTTAACGAGGTTCTCGTCATACGGAATGGTAATGTCGACCAAAAATATCCTTGAATGTGCCCGGTCTATCAGCACAATATCAGGCTTATTCGCAAGAATAGTCCTGTCTGTGATGATCGCCTGGTCCCAATAGAGCCTGGCGCGATCATTTTCGAGCACGGCTTCCGACAAGTACTTGTAATACGGCGATACGGGATGGCAACAAGCTCGACAGATGTCGACGGTGCCATCCTTTAGGATGTATCTCTATATATATATATATATATTAGATAGTTGTTAGTCTTAATAACCTGATCTTGTATTGTACAGACAAAACCCTCGGTTTCCCCGAAGAGGTCACCAAAGCGTAGCCAGTGGAGGGAGGCTACTGTGTCTACGAAAGGCTCATGTAGAGCCTTGTAGAACCTCCCGTGAAGCTCTTTCTCCTTCCATACGGTCTCCCGGTTGGAAATTTTTAAGTAATATTTAAGATGCTCTCACTCTAAATTACTAGAAAACGAGATTGGAATATAGAATAAATAATACTTAAGTTGAGTAAGTATTCTGTATAAACTAGTAACCGATAGTCAACCCATATAATTTTTGTTTTAAATAGTGACATAAAACAAAGTATAAAAGCCACGTTGACTCGAAAGCGTTTTCACAAGTTTTGATTGCGTAAAGTGCACTATAGAGGATCACATCCTCTTCCGTTATTGCAGTGAAAACCAAACAGCGTCAGGCACCTACTTTAAAATACGATTTTAACCAGTAAAATTCTGAACGATGTTAAAAAATTGTAAGTGTATATTTTTGTTAGAAGGATTTAAAAATTTAAATATTTTTGAATGTAAAATTAAACCTTGTATGCGTGTTGGATTTTCTGTAAGCCACAAGAGTTTTTGAATTAAATAAATAAAAAATAAATAAATAAATAAAACGATTCCCGAATAGAAAAACGTACCCACTAAAAAAGAAAACAAGGGATAAAAGTACAGAATATTTGTAACTTCTTCTTGTTGGTCTGTGATGAATGATGTGCCGTTTTATTTTCTACACAACAACCACACAATCTTTGCTCGCCATTAGAAAAAAAAACTTTTTCTAAGCGACATCTGAGGAGGTTCTTTATTCAAATGTTTATTTTTTCTTAAATATTTATGTTAGCAATATCGATGGCCCCAACGAATAAACGTGCAAGAGCTCTTACCCAAATTTTTTTTTCGTATTTTTCGTTTGCTTAGCCTATTATACACCTAAGTATATTTTTTTTGAATATTTTAGACTTCGAATAAGCCTTTTATAGCACAATATTCCTTTATTGTACGGAAAAAAATATTTACATATCACATGAATAATAAAACATGCGCTTATTGCCGATTATTAGTTTATTTGAGTTCACCAGAATAAACGTGTTAAATCAATCTGCCGCTCGTGTCTATCCTTTCCTTTGGGTAATAACTCTTGCACGATTTTTCGTGTAAAAACGCAAGCGACTTTTATCAGTAATGCCTCATTGCAGGCGGCAAAACTTTGAATATAATAATTACAGCTATGCTATTGTCTTTTAACATTTTCTCTTGTTTTTTCTACTTTTGTAAAGGTTTAAGCCCTAATATTATTCGATCATGAATTTGAAGTTATTGGTAGTAACCGTTTAATAAACGGATACTTTCCCAATAGTGTCTATTGCAATCGCTCGTTACAAAAGGGGCGAAGCGGGGGCGGGGTATGTAAGATGCGCGTGACATCGCTAGACCCCGGAAGGTCAGTTCGGATGCGAATTTGCTCTAGTTATTATGTCATTTCGTTTGTTTACTGAGCATATGCATTGTTGTTAATATTCTAATTAAATCATTAAGAGTGATAAGTATAATTATGAATAGACACAGAGGTACTTCAAGTCGTTGCAGAAAGATATTAAAATTGGTGAACTATGGGATACACGGTATGTACCTACATATTATTATTGATTAACTACTTTTGTAAGTAAGAGGATACACACTTTAATCAATGGAAATTGGATTCTTATTATTCTTTCCCTTTATAACAGGTGGTACCATGTTATGTGGACTCCGACAACCTTTTTAGTTAAATGTAATAAGAACGAAAATCACCTGACACAGGCACCGCGCGGCAGTTGCCTATTATTTAGCTAATTTATTGTCTTACGTATTATGTAACTATTCTCTTTTGAAGGATTATTTGCTTTTACAGGCTCAGCTGATATTGTATCGAGTAAACATTTTTTGATCCATGTTAAGTACTTTTTTTTTTCAGACAATATTATTAATGAAGATGACAGTAGTATTGAACTTGAAGAACAAAATGAAATTAAAGGTGAGAATGACGAAACTTTTTCTTTGGTTGTTGGTTAGATATATATATATATATATATATATATATATATATATAAAATATATATATTCAAAACTTACCAAGGGCTGCGTGGGGGTGAGGGGCTGAGTGTAAATGTAAATAAATAGTTATTGAAAACATAGTAATGTAGTCATTTGAGTAATTTGTTTCAGAAAATTTCACATATCTTTCGCGAAGTTCTTTCCCCATTGATGGCATATCAGACCTCAAAGAAGTCAACTCAGAACCTGATGATTTTATTACATCGGCTCCATTAATAGTAGTAAATGTATCTCCAAATGATAATAATACCTCACCACCAAATTTACCAACAAATGACATTTTAGATATTTCTCATAATGTTATTGAATCATTACTACCTGAAATGGAATACCCTACTCCATTGCAATCTGTAAATAATAATGATGATTTACAGACTACTGATAATTCTATTGTAATGACTCCATCAACCCAACAAAAAATAGATTTTATAGCCACGCCGACTGTTTTATACATTAATAATGATTACGATCTAAGAAATATTTCCGACTTAGAGGGTTTTTTACATAGTATTGAAACACAAAATATATCACAGGATATTGTAACTACAGAATCGGAGGAAAGACCGGTCACTCCTATAGAACCGCTTACGAAAAAGAGAAAAATAGATCCTAATTTATGGAAAGATCGCAAAAATAAAACTCTTAAAAATTCTGGTAAAAGTTATGAAAGTGTTAGAACTAAAAAGCAAAACGTAGAAAAATCTATAGGTCCACCATGCAACTGCAAACTGAAATGTTACGAAAAGATACAGCAAAATATGAGGAGTAAAATTTTTCAAAATTTTTGGGCTATCGGGGACCACGAAAGACAGTGGGATTTTATTAACCGCCATGTAAAAAAAGAAAACGTCAAAAAAATTACAGTTGAACGTAAAAATAATCGTACTCAAACATTAACATATCAACTATTCGATGATACTAATTCCATGATTAAAGTTTGTAAAACTATGTTTTTAAGTACCTTGTCTATTACACAGCAAGTAGTATACACAGCTATTGATAAATTGGGAGATGACAATTATTTAAAAGATTACAGAGGAACTCATAAGAATAGGCCAAGAAGAATGTCAGAAGAGACTGAGAAAAGTATAATTGACCATATAAATCTATTTGAAAGAGTTGAATCACACTATACTCGTAAAGATAGTCAAAAGCAATATCTGTGTGAAACATTGAATGTCTCTAAAATGCACCGACTATATTTAGAATGGATAGATACAAACCACCAGTACAATCAAACATGCAAAGCAACTAAACGGCAGTATGAAATAATATTTAATACGAAGTTTAACCTAAAATCATTTCACAAACCTAAAAAAAGATTTATGTGAAATATGTTCAATTTACCAAACTTCTGATGATGTAAGAAAAGAACAGTTAAAAGCTGACTATGAAAAGCACTTGAAAGAAAAACAAATGGTAAGGCAATTAAAGGAACAAGAAAAGGAAAAATTTTGTTCAGGTGACAGTGTTGTAGCATGTTTTGATCTGGAAAAAGTGTTAAATATCCCCCAAAGTGAAGTAGGCATATTTCATTATAAACGAAAGTATCCTGTATACAATTTCACGATTTATAATATCTTAGAGAAGAAAGGTTACTGCTACGTCTGGCATTGTCAAATTGCGAAAAGGGGTGCGATAGAAATAGCTAGTTGTCTTTGGTCATTTATCCAGGCACACGTTGAATTAGGAATAAAAAACATATCCTTTTATTCTGATTCATGCGCAGGGCAAAATCGTAATCGTTTCGTATTCGCCATGTTTTCTTTAGCGGCGAAGAAATACAACATAAAAATAACACATAGGTTTTTGGAGAAAGGTCATAGCCAATCGGAGGGCGATTCTATGCATGCTGCTATTGAGCGTTCTAAGAAAAAGCATACTATCTACACACCTGATCAAATGTATTCCTTGATAGAGAATGCCAAAGTTACCGGGCATAAGTATCAAGTAAAACAAATGACGCAAGCTGATTTCATAGATTTTAAAGAATTAATTAAAGGGAAGAATTGGTTAAAAGATACAGATGGTAATAAAATTTACTGGAGCAAAATTAAAGAAGTAGTTTTTCCTTATAATCAACCTGATACAGTTTACTTTAGATACAGTTTTGAAGACGAATTACAAGAGATGCAAGCTATTACGAGGACTAACTCACGAAGGCGACGAGGGGAACCTATAGAACACGCTGAAAACCTAAAACTCGCATACACTGGAATGCTGCCCGTACCTCTTCCTTTATATAGAGATTTAATAAGTCTGTGTGACTCGGGAGCCATACCAAACCACTACCAGTGTTTTTACAGAAATCTAGTGCCATTAAATTCCACCTCAGTTACCAACGATAGTGACGAGGAGAATTATTAGTAACCACTTATTAGTTGTTTTCTGTTACATTTTTCTTGTTTTTGTTTTAGTAATAATATACTTGATAAGTACCTACTTCGTTCTAAATTGGATAAATAAATAGTAATTATTCTTATTAACAATATTTTTATTGAACCTTCAACAAAAAAATAGCTAATTTACATTATATACCATGCACTAATAAAGTCGTATTACATAAATATTAAGTCGATCTTGTTAACACAAATATACGGGCCTTTATCTTTACAAATATGTAAAAGCAACAAAATATACAAGAATAAGTGTGTAGATGACCAGAGCAAGGCTTAGGGAAAAAAAATATACGTGGAATAACCATGCAACATTTCACTACACTTGTTTAAGCTTCATTTATGACACGAATAAACGTGCAGTGATACAATAATGTTAACAAGTCACATATTATTCACTAGAATAATAATTTAATACGGTTTTTCTTAAATAATGTAGTAAACCGAAAATATTTCATTTATAATAAATATATGAGCTGAAAGATATCTTTTTTACCTTTAATTTGATCACACATTATATTTGTCTATTTATTATGTAATTAAAGTTATGTGATTCCAAACGTTTTTATATCTTCCTGAAAAGTTGTCGTTTTTCGATTGCACGTTTATTCGTTGGGGCCATCGATATGTAAAAATCGTCAAATTGTGAACCGATTTAAATAATACTTATATTGTTAAATAGTTCATGCTTTACGAATTCTCATATAAATTTAAAGACAAAATTCTAGTACTAAATGTAAAAAATTGATGGCGAAATTTTCAATTAAACTACTCGTATTGAAACATATTGTAAACTTGTGATATTCCTTAGTTCATTTTAATAAAATATTAAACCTTACTAAAAGTAACAGCCTACTCAATACATCTAGGTAGAAAGAATAAAATAATTTTCACGCAATAGTTTCTGAAGTCGGAGTTGGATTCCTTGATACACTATAGTAGTACCGACTTTAGAAACTGTTATGTGAAAATTATTAAAATACTTTTAGTTCTTTAAGTTCGGCTTTAAATATTTATTAAAAGTATAGCTTTCTTTCAATACTGCCTATCAGAAGTCCACTGCTAAGAAAAGGCCACTCACTTGACTGCCTCAAAAAGCCTCATTGGAGAGATATTTGTTACAGTTGTCAAGCTTAACACGGGTAACGGGTTGATAACCACAGTTTTTTATTATTTTCAGTCTGTATCAGGAAGATGCTGCAGTCCATCTCTTGTTTCTGTATTCCTTTGACGCCGCATACGACACTCATAGTAAGTTTCCCTTACCCTTCACTTATACGGCACCACTCATCGTCATAATCATCATTATTACATCCCTTCACAAATCCACTGCAGAACATAGGCTGCCCCCACGGAATGCCACAAATCACGGTCCAGAACCACCTACCGCCATACATTTTCTGCATGACTTACCAGGTCGTCACTCCATCTAGCGGGGGGTCGCCCTAAACTTCGTCTACCGATACGAGGTTGCTACTCGAGAACCTTTTAACGGCACAACTCAACCCTTCTTATTAAAAAATATGTAAAAACAGCTACAGAGACCCTTTTTACGGGTTATAGGATTCTTGTGTCTATGGGTCACAACATCCACTTAACATCATGTGGACTGTGTGCTCGTTTGTCAGCCTTATATAAAAAAGCTAGAGCTATCCGGCAGATTCTATTTTTAAATAGATTATTAATGCAAATTAAATGAACGTAATTAAAAAGGTTTGCTTCGCATTAAATATTCAAAAGAGAGGAGTCCATTTCAGTTCATTTGATAGACCCTATGTAAGCAAATAAGGGCTAATTAGGGTTAAATATTTAAATTTCTTTGTGAAAGAAATATAAACTGGTAAAACATAACATAAATTACACCTTTTACACAAAAATGGTGTGGTAGTTGGCTATTTTCCCAAGTATTTGTTTTTACTCACGCTCTTAAACATACATCCAGCCCAGCGAACTTTTAAAACTTTAGTTGTTCATTATTATATTTATTAAATAAAAATCTTAGTATTAAATCATATGAAGGACTTAAACATGGAATAGGTGGGTGACGAGTACTGGAGGCTCTTTCCCTGGTAACAAAGCATTTTATCTTAACACATCTGCATTTCGATTCTTAGTTCACTTCTGAGTAGAGTAGAGTTAGTAGATTCTTACACTCCACTTCAGGGTTAATTTTTAATTAATGTTAGATACCACCGCTTCCACTCACCATTAGGTGGACAAGATGTATGTTTGTTACTCCTACTCTATAAAAATGTGATGCAGAAGCTAATATGTCCGTCCGTATAACTATGTAATCTGTGCTGAGGTACAAAATGACGAAATAACCACCAGTTGGTAGCCAAAAAACTGCCGTATTATAATATATATATATATATATATATATATATATATATATATATATATATATATATATATATATATATATATATATATATATATATATATATATATGAAAAAACATTGAGTATTTTCATTAAGTCGAAAAACTGATAAAAAAATGGTCGTTGATGAATATTTAAAGAAATTCTAAATGAAGCCGCAGTAATAGAACCCACCCAGGTGAAGCCGGATCGGATCGCTAATACAAAACAAATTACAATAACTTTCTAATCAGGCTCGTCTATCACTTTACAATTCCGTTAAATTCAACTATTTTTCTTTTTGTTCAGAAGTAAATACATGATATACGGTTGTTCAAAATGTTTCCCATACATTTGATTCGATTCGATTCCCATACGCTTCGAGCTCGGATTTTACGCCTGCTTTAATATTTCTAATTGCATAAATAGTATGACGGGTGTTAAAATGGAATGTCAGAAAACGGGAATGTGGAATACAGTTTCTAATCATTTACTGTCTCACTAAACACGTAAATGTAAATAGAATCGGTTAATAATATGGAATATTATATCATTAATTGTGTTATTTATTCCAATATTTACAAAAAAAAAATCTTGGTATGGGTAATTTTAGTCGTACTACCATCTACTGGAAGCTATATGATGTTAATGTGTGAATATGACCCTTTCTATAAGAAATGGGTTGATGGATTATTTTACATTGCCACTTTATGGTGTAGTATAGGATACAGGGGGAACGAACTCATTTTATATAAGTTGGCCAAAGACAACGCATTCTACATGACTCATCTATTTAATATGTATTGCCAAACAGACGTATATATTCACAGTCATTTGTATATACTAACTATGTATGTATTTAAATATGTTTACTTGTATGTATATCCATTTATTTATATATTTGTATATATGTAAGGATAGATCATATATGTATAGTTTATTTATTAGTAGTTTGTAATATATAAAAAAAAATATATATATATATATTATGTAGTTAATTATCATTTGTATTGTGATCTCTTATTCTATATTGCCACACCTACGTCAAATTCTCACCACTCCATGGGTTGACTGGTAGAGAATGCCTCAAGGCATTAAGTCCGCCCTTTGTATTCTTTTTGTTAAGGATGCAATAAAGAATAAAATAAATAAATAAATAAATAAGATGCAAAAATGAAAGTCAAGGCTTTGTTAAAAGATGATTCTTTTTATGGTGGGAAACAAAAATAAATAAGCAAACAATTCTATAGAGCAAGTCATTTTCAGCTATAAATTTTACCACTAACAGGGTGGGGAATATTCTGCAACGGAGAAACTAAACGAATATTGGTCAGAGAAAGTAAAGGAAAAACATATGATCTATTTAGAACTTGTAGCAGCCTTTATGGGACTAAAGTGCTTTTGTTACAATATTACTAAATCTGATGTTTTGTTAAGAATTGATAACACCACAACTATACCTTACATTAACGGGATGGGTGGAATACAGTTTCTACACTTTGACTATGTAACTCGAGAGATATGGCAGTGGTGCAAACGAAGAAAGCTTTTCATGTTTGCGTCATATATAAAAATTTCGGGACAATATTGAAGCTGATAAAGCCTCAATGTATTCGAAAGGCGACCGGCATATTAATAGCACCTTATTGGCCAAGCCAAACTCGCTGCCCGCTATATATGTATTTGACCATTTCTAATCTATTATATTTTGGTCCTGACAAAAACATCTTACTTTCTCCTTCCAAGATTGTTCATCCTCTGTGGTCCAGCCTTACTCTTGTTGGAAGCGTTTGCCAAACAGTCTTTAGATAATGATACTATTGACATAATGATCCAGTCGTTATCTAATAACGCAATGCGGCAATATAATACAAATTATGGTTTTCGTTTTGTAAAGACAATAACTTAGATAGAATCAGGCGTTACTTTGCGGAAATCCATTATAATAAAGATATTAATAGTTGTTTTGCAACCATCCGCTAAATTAAATCAAATGATGTATCTTCCCTAGTTTGAAGAACACCTCCCGCCCTCGCTCAAAAATTGCGTGTCAGCCGCCGTAGAGTGAACATCACCTGAAGATGCCTCGTGGAGAGGCGAAACACGTGGCGTATTATCGTCGATGGTGTGTCTTTCCTAGAATAGTGGCGTTGGGAGTAGTGCCATTGGGAGTAGTGTTGCTGGGATTGGTGGTGACGGGATAAGTGCACGCAATTGAGGGAGGGCGGTAGGTGCTCTTCAAACCAGGGAAGACACATCATTTTGTTTAATTTAGGGGATGGTTGCAAAATAACTATTAATATCTTTATAATAAAAGGGTAGTCAAAACGCTTGTTAACTAGACTACAATAAGGAAGGTGATATAATAAAAATTTAATCTACTCTTATTACAATTGTTGGCGACGCGTCTATAAGAATATTTCATACATAAAAACAAATTATCGAGCAATAATATTCTAATAAGAAAACAGTTGAATCTTAAAGAAATATGGAATTAATAGTTTGAAGGTCTTGGGTTCGATTCCCAGGCCGGACTAGTTTGTCGTTTTCTTAGTAATATTTTCTTAATAAATTCATATAGGGAATTTTTAAGATATAAATTATATTTCCG